TTTATATCAAAAACGCATTTATTAAATGAATTTTTATACAAAATAAATGAATCTAAAATATTTGTTTAACACAGTACGTTTTCAACTATTAGGTCGGCTCTCATGGAGCAGAACAACGGAACGGAACTCGCGGAATAATATAAAATCATATTTTTTATGTTATTTAGAATACTTATAATAATAAAAATAGTATTTTAATGTAAATATATATATAATAATGTATATAATAAACAGGTAAACATTAGAACTTCTTTAGCAATAAAATATTTTTAACATAATTATAAAACTATCTCATGATTGGCTGAAACTTGATTCCGCTGCCGCGTTTACCGCTCAATAGGACATAAAAGAAAAAAAATAAACGGAATCGTAGACTACTGATTAATATCTACATTTATATTTACTGTAATTATCAAATCATTAACATTCTGCTCTTTACTAATTCTGTATTTAATATAATGGGTGCATTTAGTACTACAACCGCTCTCTGAGCGCTCAGTGAGCGATCACAGTACTGAATGCATCCATTAATGAAAAAGATATAAAACAGTATACCAATCTCATTATATGGACAATGGCCTAGTTTCCACCGAAGATTTAAACCGAATCAGAATGTAAAAACCAATCAACTACAGTCGAGCATTCCCCTGTAACAGAGGAATACTCGACTGTAGTTAGTTGGTTCTTACATTCTGATCCGCTTTAAATCCTGGATGGAAATTAGGTCAATTGCTGTAATATACATTGACAACATATAATGGCTACGTTCTAAACGCTCGCAACGCTCACGAACGTTCTGAGCATTAAATGGAACGCAGCCAATATCTGCAACTTTCGTTCATTCCAAATTGTAACGGTAAAATTATAGTGGAATCTTAGGTTTGTTCGCGTCGCATGCTCTAACATGCTCTAAAATATTTTTAGTATAGGATTTACTCATTCTAACGCGCTCGTTGAAGTAAATAGAAACTATAACAGGAACACATCGGAGCATGTTGAAGCATGCGATGCAACCTCTTATGTGTCAACAAGCAACACAGTGATCATGTCATCTTTGTTTAACATTGGTAAAGAACAAGGACGTAATAATCCCATGGCTGCGTTTAGCGGATTCAGTTAATTGACCGCTCGTTGCTATTGTATTCTTTTAGAATCTAAAATGCGGATGATCTAAAAGAATACACCAATAATAGGGAGTGCTCACTCAACTGTTGAGTCCGCTGAACGCAGTTATTGTGTCACTTATGTCGCTTGTTGAGAGGCACATCTTAAGTTTCTACCGAGAGTGTAAGAGCCGTCACAGACAAAATTTCTGTAATAGTAACTTTAAGACATAAATTTAAGCCGATGAGCCAATCAGGATACTGCTTTAGATCTACGTACTCTAATGGAAATAGAAATAGTAGTAATCTTATCCATAAGGCGAGTTTCAACCAGTTAAAATTTACCTTATTGCAAAAAAATGCACCTTATGGAAGTTTACTGTTATTTCCATTTCCGTTAGATTACGTAATCTAAAGCAGTATCTTGATTGGCTCATCGGTTTAAGTTTACACCTTACGCATACTGTTACGGAATTTTGTGTGCGGCAGCCCTGCTCTGGCAGCACAGACTTTTACATATCGCATAATATAAGAGTAAATTTCACTAAAAATAAATTTATCTTGTTATCCTGAGATATTATGAAACTATATGTTAACTGTTTTTTTTTTAATTTATTTTTAAGAGTGATAGAAGTAAAAATTTTATAAAAATAAGAAGTACTTTCACAAAATTAATGGTATTAGAGTTAAAGATTAATAATTTTCTCATTGTCCTCATCCTCTCTCTCTAAGATATGGATCGTTATGATCAATACGATTTATATCTTGGCAAGGTAGAAATGTTTGTGACTTTTATATTTTACATTTTGATTATATTAAAGAGCAACTTACATTCTAGCTTAGACTCGTAGTCTATTTAATTTCTATTGTTTTTGAATTTTGAGTCTCATTATTATTAATAATTCCATTATATTACATTAATTTATTTATTATATTGTATTAATTTATATTTTTTATATTGTAGGAAGCTTTAGTAATGTTGTACACTTGTGATGTATACGAAAGTACATATTTGTGATGAGACAGAAATGCATTGTCATCCTTGTATGCAGGATTATAACCATTTCTGTGTAGATAAAAATTTATATTTTTATCTTTAAACGTGAAGTATTTTTATCTTCAAAATGTGAGTATTAGTGACACACATTTTTTATATTTTATAAATAACATTAATGCCTAAAAAACACATTAAAGTCAACACAAAGTTAAAAGGATTTTATTTTGATTTAAAAATAAAGTCATTTTTACTCTCTGTTGACTTGGTATGTTTCTTGAGTAAATGAATTTGCAGATGACGAACAAATTATTCATAAAAGTTTGGTTGATAATATGGGATAACCATCGTTATGGAAAGTGATCAAGACACTGATCTTGCAATTAATTGGCAAAATAAAAAAATTGTGAACGATGAATATTTAATCGAAGTAGTTTGCAAACGTTTTCCATCACAGAATTTTAAGCATCCTCTTGTTCAACGAAGCCTACAAATAAAAAAAATGCTATGAGAAGAAATATCTGCATCAATGATAGCAGCATTTATAAGTAGTCATGATTTTAGATTAAACTTTGTTCATATTGAATGTATTTTTGTCTTTTCTAGGTAAAATGGACGTTACAACTATAAAAAAAAGATGGAAATCGTTAAACGATATTTTCAGGGTTTATCATAAAAATAAACAACATCAACCAAGTGATTCAGCAAGTGACATCACGCAAAAATAGTTGAGTGTACTATGAACGGATGCAGTTTCTTAGCGATGTACAACTTGAAAGCGAGTATGTATGTATAAAGTTAGTATACAAATGTATCTTAATGTACAATAATACATTTTTGTTTACATTTATTATGTGCAAATTTAAATCAAAACTATGTTACAGAACTATAACAAATATCTCAGTAGCTGGGACCATAATTCCGATCAATTTAATGACGATACTGTTTTTGATAGCGCGAATAGCAACAGTGGTCGTGGATCGCGCGCGCGCGCGCGCGTGAGTTAATTTTACTACATCTTATTACGACGATATTAAGAAATAAACAATAATTTTGTTGGATGTTACACATTTGCTGATAGTCATGAATTTTTTGACATTGATAGAAAATATAAAATTTTAATTGCGTAGGTAATAAGCGTCTGAGTAGTTCAGACCATGAGGAAACTATTGAACGACTTGCTGATGTTCTCAAACAACAGTTAACGTCCCACCGATTGTTCCTCCGCTACCTATGGATAAAGCCGGTTTATTTGGCAATCTTATAGCTGCCCAACTTTGAGAGGTTCCTCTACAATTTATGGATGATATAATGATAAAAGTGCTGCAGATTATTAATACCGTTAAGCGACAAAATAATATTTTAAACATATTTTATTATAACATTTATTTTATTTTTATTATATTTATTTTATAATTAATATTATATTATTTTATTTTTTATTTTATTTTTACATTTATTTTTTAAAGGACATACAGTATATACAGTAGTATATAAATTCATACGGAATTAAGATCCAGTTCTAGACTGTTTAGGCGTTGATTTCTATAATTTATATTATTGTTACATATTTTTACTAGTTATATTTTAGATATTTATATCGTTTTGCCATTGTACCACTCCTTCATTATTAAAATAATAACAAAATTTATTTCTTATTCCTATATATTGTTTTGCACTCATATTTGATCCACAGTTAGAAATATCTTTAAATGCGCAATCATTTTCCGTTACTGTTCGCCAAAATCCTGGTTTGAAACTATTTGATTCGTCAATATCAACCAAAGTCAGAGGCATATATATGCCACTGTCCTGTTGGCGAAGCCAATTATGTAGACAAATGGTTATTAAAACCATTACTTTTGCGTTTTCAGGATAATGATAGATTTTCTATATATTCTCCACTGATTAGCTAGTATACCAAATGTATTTTCGATCATTCGTCTCGCACGACTGAGACGATAATTATATATGCTCTGTTCTCGTGAGAGTCTATCTCTACCAGGATATGGACGAAGCAAATATGGTTTTAGAGGGAAAGCTTCATCTCCAACAAGACAGTACGGCAGAACAAATTCTCTTTTTCCAATCGCTATTGGCTGTGGAATATTCATCTAATCTTCGTTAAATGCTTTCCCTATGATGCTGTCTTTGAAAATACCACCATCGCTTCGTCATATACCGCAATATCCGCAAACCGAATTATATAATTTGCATCACAGATAGCTTTAAAACTGCGAGAATATTTGTAATTTAAATATGTTGAGCCAGCATTATTGGGACACTAAAACAAAGAATTTATTACTTCAAATTATACTTCTTTTTAAATTATATTGACTTAGGTCTAGTCCACAATCAGTTGAAAGACGTTACCGTAAAAAATTAACCAATCATAGTCGATTGTTGTTTTCATATTTAACTGTGATTGACCAATTTCTTACAGTACGACATATGACAACAGAGAATTTTTGCAATATCGTTTATCTCAGATATGGTGAACGCTAAAGTCACTTATCTTTTTTTTACACCTAATTAAGAAAAGAATAATGTGTGACTTTATAAACGGTATATTTATTATTACTTTTACTTTTTGTTTTACTATATCTCTTTTCTTTCCTTTTTTATTATTATTTTTGTATTTTTAATTTATTCTCCATCTGTATGACTTTTTCAGAGAAATGCGTTGACTCTTACTTTGCCCTTGTTTTTATTGTTATTTAATTTATAAACGATATTGCAAAAACTTCCTAACATCTTCCGATTGATTGTAGACTAGACCTTAACTATAATTTTACGTACTTGAATGATGTCATGCTTTCTATCGATGGCTCCAATACAATAAGCAAAATTCCATTTATTTTCAAAATTATTTGCTATATCCAGCCAGTCTTTTTTTTAAATTTACCTGGGAGAACTACAGGGCTCAAACAATCCCATATTGCTGTACAAGTTTCGAGAATGATATTATTCGCTGTTGTTACTTCCACGAGATGGTAAGACATCGATATCATGGAGTCTCCGGAAGCAAGATATCTATAATATTCCATATGTAATATAATAATACATACATATAAACAATTCATACGCAAAATGTATAATATTATTATATTATAATATTATCTTACTATAAATAAAAGAACCAAACAAACCTTAATATTAATGCCAATCGTTCAGCTGGTATTATGGATTGTCGAACAACGTCCTGTTTCTGTAATTTTGATTTGATCATGCCCAACAATTCTTCTAATTGAGTTGCATTCATTCGAAAGTAATTGTGGAATCGTATGTCCTCCAATTTTGGAACCAAAGCAAAAAAAACTATATTCGGATTTTCGAAAATAGGTACTATCCAATATTTTCTCTTTTTATACGTTTTTTTCTTTTTTAATGAACTGATAGCAATTATAACAGTTGCGCGTCGTCTTCTAATGCAACTGTAGCTGCCACTATACGTCTATATTCTTCTATATACGCAATATATTGTAATCCATTTTTAATAGTAAAACATTACAAATGTTTACTTTTTAGTTATTTTTTAAAATTAATTGCAATGTTTATTGTGTACACGCAATTCTCAATATCGATTTTTAGCTTTTAAAAACTAAAGTCAGCGAAAAAACGCTCCATGAAAAGGAAGGAGGCAATAGTTTTAGCTTTTCAACGCTGGATTTGAATTGTGACAGAGTGAGAATAAACGCCAGCTTTTCAACGTTTGCATGAAAAAGCAGCTTATAGATTACGGCATACGACATACAGTTATGGCCAATATAAATACTTCCTTAAATTAAACGTAGCTTTTCCTGCTTGTATTAAATAAAAAAAAGTAAAAATCCCGGCCATTCAACGCCCTCCAGCTTCATTTATAACTGCCGCGGTTAGTAACATGTAATTATCACTAAAAAATACAAGCTTACACAGCCCTCAGCTAAGTACAGGGTATCAATCATAAAATTTTATCCCTAGGATGGAAAGTAAACAGTGAAAATTTTAATCATTGAAGTTAATGGAGAAAATTTTTACTTTTCACTTTTCATCCTAGGAAAAAAAGTTTTATGATTGATACCCTGATGTAATGTTGCGTCGAAAATAGAAATAGCAGTAAACTTATCCATAACCTTACAATAAGGTAAATTTCAATTGGTTGAAACTCGCCTTATAGATAATTTTACTGCTATTTCTATTTTCGCTAGAGTACGTAGATCTAAAGCAATATCCTGATTGGTTCATCAGGTTAAGTTCACGTTTTAAGATTATTATTACAGAAATTTTGTCTGCAGCAGCTTTTAAGCCTGTATCAGACTATCGACTCTGCAAGCTGATACGACTGCCAACCAATAATGAACCAATCATATTAAATCAGTCTTATTGTAATTAGTCCATTATTGGTCGGCAATCAGAGTTGGCAGTCGGGTCGGCTTAAATCATACGAAGTCTGTTCAAAAAGTATCGCGAATTTTGAATTTCCGCGGGTTACGTATATTCGATTTTCGATTTTTTGTGGCGTTATATTGGTACTCATGTCTCTCACTTATGCCGACAAGTTCGGCCATTCTAAATGTTCAGTTAATTTTTGACAGCTGCTTTGCTTGCACGTGTTTTGGCTCGTCTTCAATTTTTGCCTATTCCAAAAAATGGATCAAAGAATCTGTATCAAATTTTGTGTGAAAAACAAAATTAAGTGCGCGAACGCATTCCGAATGTTGACTGTGGCATATGGTGAAGCTACCTTGGACCGAAGCAACGTTTATCGGTGGTACAAAATGTTCTCAGAGGGCCGAGAAGATGTGAACGACGAAGAGCGTGCCGGACGCCCGAGCACGTCAACAACAGACGAAAACATTGATGAAGTGAAGAAAATAGTATTGGCCAATCGTCGAATCACCGTTAGAGAGGTTGCTGAGGACCTAAACATATCGATTGGCTCGTGCCATTCGATTTTTACCAATGATTTGGGCATGAGACGGGTCGCCGCGAAATTCGTACCAAAATTGCTCAATTTCGACCAAAAACAGTATCGCATTAACATTGCTAAGCAGCTGTTGGACTCTATCTGCGACGACCCAAATTTGCTCCAGAGGGTCATAACAGGTGACGAATCATGGGTTTATGGTTATGACGTGGAAACCAAAGCTCAATCATCCCAATGGAAGCTGCTGCACGAGCCAAGACCGAAAAAAGCGCGCCAAGTTCGGTCGAATGTGAAGGTTTTGCTTACAGTTTTCTTCGATTGCAGGGGCGTGGTGCATCATGAGTTCTTGCCACAGGGTAGAATGGTCAATAAGGAATATTACCTGCAAGTTATGCGCAATTTGCGCGAAGCAATCCGCCAGAAACGCCCGGATTTGTGGAAGAACAAAAATTGGCTTTTGCACCATGATAACGCCCCTGCTCACACATCGTTGCTTGTGCGCGAATTTTTGACCAAAAACAACACACTAATGATGCCGCAGCCACCGTATTCCCCAGATCTGGCCCCCTGTGACTTTTTCTTGTTCCCGAAACTGAAGAGGCCCATAAAAGGACGACGCTACGCTACGATTGAGGAGATAAAGGCGGCATCGAAGGAGGAGCTGAACAAGATCACAAAAAATAATTTTTTGAAGTGCTTCGAGGATTGGAAAAAACGTTGGCACAAGTGTATAATATCTGATGGGGATTACTTTGAAGGGGACAAAATAGATATTCATGAATAAATAAATAATTTTTGAAAAAACACAAAATTCGCGATACTTTTTGAACAGACCTCGTATAATACTAGACGGAGAATACAGCAAAATCTCTTTTGTCTTAAGATGCCTTTTCATGCTGACGCTCGACGCTCATTTTCAGCGTCAAAACAGGATCACATGATCAAAATTGATGTTTAGTAAGCATCATTTTGATCACGTGATCTATTTGAAAACCAGAGAGAAACCTGAGAGAGAATATAAAGCTTAAAAGTAGAGCATTATAATATAGGTATTCGCATCCGTTATTTTTAGTTTTTCCATCACTCTTTGTTCTCTCTTCAATCTTTTTAATTTAGTGGTAGACTAGAGTGAGTGAGGGAGGAGGGAGGGAGGAAGGGAGGGAGGGAGAGAGAGAGAGAGGGAGGGAGGGAGATAAAGGGAGGGAGAGAGGAAGGGAGGGGAAGAGAGAGAGAGAGAGAAAGAGAGAGCAAGGGATTGAGGAAAAGAGCAAAAGAGTGAGAAAAAAACTAAAATTGGATGCGGATACTCATATCTTACCAAAATCTGTAACCGCAAAATGCTACCGCGCACTACTGCCCCCTGACAAAGTGGATGTAAACTACATAGCTTTGAGGGTCCACTTTTCTAAGGGTAATACATTCAATTTTCTGAGGGTA